TTTTTGTCACAGGCCCCCATTAATTTCCAACCCTGGTTTTACATTTGACCGTTTCGAGGTGTTTCTCTTTCTTGTTCTTTAGGATACATTGATTTGTCCAAGAGAAGAGTGTCTCCGGAAGAAGCCATCAAGTGTGAGGATAAATTCACCAAATCTAAAACCGTGAGTGTGCATTTTTTTTTAGAAAATGGAAGTCAAATTTTGTGTTTTTGTGTGGTTTGAAGATGTTGTGGTTGTTATGCTGCAGGTGTACAGTATTTTACGGCATGTGGCTGAAGTGTTGGAGTACACTAAGGACGAACAGCTGGAGAGTTTGTTCCAGCGAACCGCTTGGGTGTTTGACGAGAAATACAAGAAGCCTGGATACGGCGCCTATGACGTCTTCAAACAGGCCGTGTCGTGAGTGTTCAAGCACTAAACAGAGAAAGACTTTTAAGTGAACATGAAAATGTTTTGCTTATTTTCTTGTTTTATTTCCAGCGATCCCTCCATCCTGGATGGTTTGGATCTGACAGAGGAGGAGAGGGACGTGCTCATCGACAACATCAACAGACGCCTCACTCCACAGGCTGTCAAAATCAGAGCGGGTATTTATCATAAAAATCTGTTGCACTTTTCACAATGCAGATAGTTCCAGTGCAGAGTAATTAAAAGTATTTTAACATTTTTTTTTTTACTTTCTATTTAATTATTTAACTTTTTATTAAACTTTTAATTATTTAAATTGAATAAAAATGTATTTAATTTAAACTTTAATTTAATTATTTTGCAATTATGTGTATAATTATTTATTATTAATATTAATTTATATTATTATTAGTGCTGTCAAACGATTAATCGCATCCAAAATAAGTTTTTGTTTACATAATTTGTGTGTACTGTGTATATTTATTATGTATATATAAATACAAACACATGCATGTGTATATTTAAGAAAAATGTTTTGTTTATATATAAAATATTAATATATAATATATATATATTCATTTAAATATTTTTAAAATACATGTATGTTTGTGTATTTATATACAGTATACATAATAAATACACACACATATTTTGTAAACATTTTTTTTATTTTGGATGCGATTAATCGTTTGACAGCACTAATAATAATATAAATTATTATTAATAATAAATAATTATACACATAATTGCAAAATAATTAAATTCAAGTTTAAATTAAATACTTTTTTTTTTTTTTATAATTAAATAAAAGTTTAATAAACTTTTAATAAAAATCATATATATACTACAGTCATTTAGATTTGTTTTTTAAAGAAATTAATACTTTTATTCAGCAAGGATGCATTAAATGAACCAAAACTGACAAATAAATGCTGTTCTTTTGAACTTTCTTTTCATCAAAGAATCATGAAAAAAAGTATCTCCACACAAATATGAACTGTTTTCAACACTGATAATAATAAATAGAAAACAGTTATTTTAAATTGTAATAATATTTCACAATACTGTACCAATACCCAAACTTTTGAACAGAAGTGTTTATGAAAATACATATAAAAAATGTATTCTTTAAAAAAAACTATTCTCTCAGATCCATTAAATACTCTACGAAGCCAAGCTTTCCTTTTTAATGTATTTTAAGATTCAAAGAAGAAAAAATAAAAAAATACATAAAAAGCAGATTTAAATAAATCATAATAAAATTCATTAAAATAAAAATGGATTAATATAAACACTAAAAACATTTGATTAATATTCATTAATTAAGACATAGTACAAAGTAAAAAAAAAACAACAAAAAAGTTTGTTCTCCCTTTCATATGTGCCATATATACGTTCATGTATGTTTAGCATGACGTTTGCTTTATCCCGTGGACAGACATTGAGGTGGCGTGTTATGGATATGAAGGCATTGATGCTGTCAAAGATGCTCTGAGGGCGGGGCTTAACTGCTCCACAGAGGTCATGCCAATCAAGGTGCGATCAGCTTCCTTTAGATTCTGCTCTGCCAGGTTCATGTGCTGCAGACTCTGTGATTAAAAGTGCATCGTTTTGCTTTCAGATAAACCTGATTGCACCGCCGCGATACGTCATGACCACCACCACTCTGGAGCGCACCGAGGGTCTGTCAGTGCTCCACCAGGCCATGACCGCCATCAAGGAGCGCATCGAGGAGAAGCGAGGCGTCTTCAATGTCCAGATGGAGGTCAGACACTTTAGAGCTTCGTAAATGTACTAAATACACGTCATCTTTTTGCACTGTTTTTGAGTTTAGACCTCTTTATAAAACGTAGAAATCAAAAATATAATGCAATATACTGTATATGCACATTGTATTTGCTCTAATTGCATTCTCATGCATGAATGTTTCTCATCATGCAGTATACAAGATATTATTTACAATATACAGAATACAGTAGGTTGAGGGTTTTCAAACTGGCATCTGGAGACCAAATGTAAAGAAAACAGTGTAATGAATAAATGAAAAGAAAATATGATTATGATATAAACTAAATAAAAACAAATACTTAAAATAATAAATAATGATTTTGTCTGAGCAGGGGAAAGAATTCCCAGCAAATATTTGTGATTAAATCAGCATCTAATGTTAATAATTTGATTAGTTGCTTGACTACCCTAATTGTTACCCAGTATTTACTGTAATTATAATCCACTCACAGGTAACAACATAAAATGTTAAATTCATAATTAGTTCATATTTAATGTTCATTTAAACACAAATTTGACTTCAAACCATTTAATGTATTGCAAGATTTTCCTGTGCTTTTAATGTTTATTACAATATACTAAGACCTTTTTTTTTTACTTGGAATAAATACGGACAAATAAAATCATATATATAAACTTCGTCTTCAATGTCCAGATGGAGGTCAGACACTTTAGAGCTTCGTAAATGTACTAAATACACGTCATCTTTTTGCACTGTTTTTGAGTTTAGACCTCTTTATAAAACGTAGAAATCAAAAATATAATGCAATATACTGTATATGCACATTGTATTTGCTCTAATTGCATTCTCATGCATGAATGTTTCTCATCATGCAGTATACAAGATATTATTTACAATATACAGAATACAGTAGGTTGAGGGTTTTCAAACTGGCATCTGGAGACCAAATGTAAAGAAAACAGTGTAATGAATAAATGAAAAGAAAATATGATTATGATATAAACTAAATAAAAACAAATACTTAAAATAATAAATAAATATGAATAAGATACACAAAATACAGATTAAAATTAATAAAAAATGGATTAAAACAAAGTAGTACAGTTCTATAGTGAGTAGAAAAAAATGTATGAAACAAAAAATACAATGCAAAATATATGCATACATCAAAAATTAATTGAATAACTTAAAATGATTAAAATAAATAAATATAGTACAGTACTATAGAGTAGAAAAAAACAATGCAATATATAGAGAAAATGGTGTAATAATTATATATTTATTTTTTTAATTCTTTCAGATCCATTGAACACCGTATGAAGCAATGCTTTCTTAAACTATTATTTTTTCCCTTTTTTAAAAATGGGATTAAATTAATACATAGTGCAGTACTATAGCGAGTAGAAAAGCACAAATGCAATATATAAGCACATTTTATTGAAGTGTTTGCTCTGAATGCATTCTCATGCATGGATGTTTGTCTTCAGCCCAAAGTGGTGACGGACACAGACGAGACAGAACTGCAGCGGCAGCTGGAGCGTCTGGAGCGAGAAAACGCAGAGGTGGACGGCGATGACGACGCTGAGGAGATGGAGGCCAAAACAGACGAGTAGATCAACAACGAAACCCGTTCAGATGAACTGATGCTGCAGAGAATTCACTTTTACACAAACATCATAAAGCTGATTTTCTGAACCGGTGGCCTTTTAACCCTTCACAGCTCTGATGAATATTAACATTTAAGCTGATTCAACAATGCAGAGTGAAGACTGTGATGTTCTCTGAAGTAAAACCTGTTTCTTGCTCTGCTGCAATCTCAGTAAAATACTGGAAAGTTGCTGGAAGTTTTGTATTCTTTTGCATCTGTATTTACATATTGACATGCTGCAACGCTACGGTTTAATAATACTTGAACGTATGGACCGAGTGAAAATTTTATTCAAAATATCTTTAAAAAAAGTTAAACTTTTTAATTGAACTTAGCAAAAAATAAAAAGTTAAAAATAAATAAATTTATTATACATTATATATATTCATTTTAAAAGTTTTCAAATACAGTATCTAAGTGACATGTCAGCATTGTTTAACCAACCTAGCAAGAGTTAAGCATTTTGAATTATTTTCTACATGCAAAAATAAATGAAAATGTTTTAACCAAACCTTGATTTTGTCTGAGCAGGGGAAAGAATTCCCAGCAAATATTTGTGATTAAATCAGCATCTAATGTTAATAATTTGATTAGTTGCTTGACTACCCTAATTGTTACCCAGTATTTACTGTAATTATAATCCACTCACAGGTAACAACATAAAATGTTAAATTCATAATTAGTTCATATTTAATGTTCATTTAAACACAAATTTGACTTCAAACCATTTAATGTATTGCAAGATTTTCCTGTGCTTTTAATGTTTATTACAATATACTAAGACCTTTTTTTTTTACTTGGAATAAATACGGACAAATAAAATCATATATATAAACTTAAAATTTCAGCTAGTTGCAAAGGCAACTTTTGTAATTTTAATTTCAACTTGAACTTCACCAAAACTGATGTAAAAAAAAATTAAATAGTGTAAATTATAATACCGTTATAAGTCGAAACAAGTATTTTTTTAATGAAAACAAATGCAAAAATGGCATATAAATGAATTAACTTGTGTGAAATGCAAATCTTCCTTAAGTATACTAATTAATCACCTCACACCCTGAAAATAAACCATGCAGTCAATTTTTATGCCAAAGTTAATATTCTATAATTTTACTGTTACAAGTAAACATGCATGGACTGACGCGCAGCTTCAAGCTGAAACCAGGACACATTAAAATGCACACAAAAAGATTTTACTAAAAAAACTAAACAAATGAATCACTTTTATTCAAAACACATCCACTGATAAGTACAAAAACAAAGACAGTCAATCGTTTTGATGTCAATCAGTTTAGCGAGAGCTTCCGAACAGAGTCGGGGTCCAATCACAACTGCTTTAGTTTTAGAGAAACAACTGGGGAAAACTCTTTGGTTCGGTTGGTGAGGGCGACCAAAAGAACAGAAACAGTAAAATCACAACCTAGACGAGATTGGCAATCATTACAGTAACAATTTACAATGGCTTCCTCACAGAAAGAAGCGCTAAGCGGCCGAGACGTAGCTACGCTGAAGACGGATTCAACAGGAAGGCCCTGAGAAACCAAACCTCTTCCTCTCGGCACTCGTTGCTGCTGCTGCTGCTCTTACGGAGGCGTCTGGGACGCGGCTCAATATGAATTAACTCCAAAGGTCACAAATGGTCGAGTTTCCCCAAGTTGTTTTGAAACCTAGATGAGCTGTCCGGCCCAAAGGGGAAGTAAAAAGCAAAGTTCATGGGCGTTCGCTGCTTGTTCATTTCCCGAGGCCGATCTTCTTGGCTTCAGTTTCGTAAATCAATAACCTCCACATTTTAACTATGAAGACCTCGGCCTCTTCATCCAGCACCTGAGGAGACGGAGATGAAGAGATCAGATTGTGTAGTTGTGGAAATATGCCTTAATAACTGTGCGAAAGAGCAAACTTACCATCGCAACGTCGTCCAAGATGCCTTGAGGTGTGCTGTGGGCCATTACCTGAGGACACACAGCAGCGACAGTCTTACAGTCTTCATCTGCTTCTGAGATTCAAACATCATCTAAGTGACATGTCAGCATTGTTTAACCAACCTAGCAAGAGTTAAGCATTTTGAATTATTTTCTACATGCAAAAATAAATGAAAATGTTTTAACCAAACCTTGATTTTGTCTGAGCAGGGGAAAAAATTCCCAGCAAATATTTGTGATTAAATCAGCATCTAATGTTAATAATTTGATTAGTTGCTTGACTACCCTAATTGTTACCCAGTATTTACTGTAATTATAATCCACTCACAGGTAACAACATACAATGTTAAATTCATAATTAGTTCATATTTAATGTTCATTTAAACACAAATTTGACTTCAAACCATTTAAGATTTTCCTGTGCTTTTAATGTTTATTACAATATACTAAGACCTTTTTTTTTTTACTTGGAATAAATATGGACAAATAAAATCATATATATAAACTTAAAATTTCAGCTAGTTGCAAAGGCAACTTTTGTAATTTTAATTTCAACTTGAACTTCACCAAAACTGATGTAAAAAAAATTAAATAGTGTAAATTATAATAGCGTTATAAGTCGAAACAAGTATTTTTTTTTAATGAAAACAAATGCAAAAATGGCATATAAATGAAGAATTAACTTGTGTGAAATGCAAATCTTCCTTAAATAAGTATACTAATTAATCACCTCACACCCTGAAAATAAACCATGCAGTCAATTTTTATGCCAAAGTTAATATTCTATAATTTTACTGTTACAAGTAAACATGCATGGACTGACGCGCAGCTTCAAGCTGAAACCAGGACACATTAAAATGCACACAAAAAGATTTTACAAAAAAAAACTAAACAAATGAATCACTTTTATTCAAAACACATCCACTGATAAGTACAAAAACAAAGACAGTCAATCGTTTTGATGTCAATCAGTTTAGCGAGAGCTTCCGAACAGAGTCGGGGTCCAATCACAACTGCTTTAGTTTTAGAGAAACAACTGGGGAAAACTCTTTGGTTCGGTTGGTGAGGGCGACCAAAAGAACAGAAACAGTAAAATCACAACCTAGACGAGATTGGCAATCATTACAGTAACAATTTACAATGGCTTCCTCACAGAAAGAAGCGCTAAGCGGCCGAGACGTAGCTACGCTGAAGACGGATTCAACAGGAAGGCCCTGAGAAACCAAACCTCTTCCTCTCGGCACTCGTTGCTGCTGCTGCTGCTCTTACGGAGGCGTCTGGGACGCGGCTCAATATGAATTAACTCCAAAGGTCACAAATGGTCGAGTTTCCCCAAGTTGTTTTGAAACCTAGATGAGCTGTCCGGCCCAAAGGGGAAGTAAAAAGCAAAGTTCATGGGCGTTCGCTGCTTGTTCATTTCCCGAGGCCGATCTTCTTGGCTTCAGTTTCGTAAATCAATAACCTCCACATTTTAACTATGAAGACCTCGGCCTCTTCATCCAGCACCTGAGGAGACGGAGATGAAGAGATCAGATTGTGTAGTTGTGGAAATATGCCTTAATAACTGTGCGAAAGAGCAAACTTACCATCGCAACGTCGTCCAAGATGCCTTGAGGTGTGCTGTGGGCCATTACCTGAGGACACACAGCAGCGACAGTCTTACAGTCTTCATCTGCTTCTGAGATTCAAACATCTACTGGATTTAAGGCTCATTCTGAATCAAAACTGATTCAAGTAACACTATATATATATATATTTAAATGAATTTATTATGAATTATATATATTTTTTTATTTTATTAAAATAAACAAATTCAAATATTGTATCTATGTATCTAATTTTTAATTATTTTATTATTACTTTATTAATGAAAAATAAGTATTTAAATTGCAAAAGCTCCTGTTTGGCAGTATTTTGGATTTTGAAATGCCTGTTGACTTTTGCCGTTTATCTAAGCTGATTTTGGAAGTTCTTTAAACATTCGTTTCTTATTTAATTGGTTCCACAGTGTTTGCTGATTTTTACTTTATTTAAACTTTCTGTCATTTATTTATTTTATTTGACATCGAGGTGTATGCCGTGCCTCCAAGCTTTCTTACTCGTTTTGCTAATAAACATTCTACGTTTCTTATTTATTTGGTTACATATTATACATGTTTACTTATTTCCAGTTTTGTATACCTATTAAACTTTATGCAAGTTATTTGTTATTTTATATTAGGCATAGACTGCCCTATAGCATGGTGTATTTTTATTTGTTTTGTTAATAAAATTTCAATGTTTTATATATAGGCTAAAGTGAGTTTGATGTTGTATTTTGTTGTTGCATTCAAGCAATTGACCGCCTAACTGCCGTTAATTCGAAAGTGAAAGTAAAATGTGCACGGCGCTTTTAAGCTATTTAAAAGCAAAGGAAAGGGGGAAAATTCAAAAACGAAAACTCTAAAAGCGAACAATTGCTTTACTCTGAATTGCCGCTATTTTAAAGTGAAAGTAAAATGGGCACACTTTTACAAGCTATTTAAAAGCGAAGGAAAGCGAGGAAAAGAGGGAACGCCCCGCCCCCACGGTGATACCGGTATTACCGGTGTTGTCACACGCCGATTAACCGGTGGGAAAATTTCCTCACCGACACAACCTCTAATTGATTAATGAAAAATAACTTGACAAAGTAATTCATTGAAATACTATTTGAATATATTTTTCAGTTTATTTTTATTAATAAAAATAATGAATTAATTTAAATACTATTTTATTTTTCATTAATAAAAAACATTTAAATAATCAAATAAAACTATTCAATTAAATACTGTGAAAACACGCGGTCAATTTATTTTTCATTAACAAAAATGTTTAAAATACATTTAAATACTATATTTGTCATTAATAAAAATTATTTTAAAATTCATTTAAATACTACATTTTATTTTTCATTAATAGTAAACGCATTTTTAAAATGAAATAAAATAATTCATTTGAATACCATTCGTATACATTTAATTCTTTAATTATTTTACTATTTTATAAATCAACTACAGCATTTAAAGGGGAGGTCTAATGCTATTTCATGCAGTAAAGAGTTGCATTCTCATGCTGAACATGACCAAAGTTTCAAAAAACGATTTGGACGTATGACGGAGTATTTCTGTGCACTATCATTCTGAAAGATGTAGCAATTATTCCTCTTCAGCGCTCAGCCTCTTTCTTCATTCAGAAACCGAACAAAACATCTTACCTTGGTGCAAACAAAGTCAACTAATGTGGCTTCTTCTTCACCAATGTACTCTACGATCTTCTTATTGATCCACGGTCGAATACGCTTCTCCATAAGTCCCTGTGAACGGCGGAAACATTCAAAAACACAAGTTATACATTAAACATACATTAAAACAAGAAGAAAAGCCCACAAACACAAATATATGGCCCTATGATTTCCACGATGTGGAGAAAACAGACTAAATCCTGGAACTCAGTCATAAAAAATAAATTTTTATGCAATAGTAACAATAAAATTTAATCTGCATTTTTTGGGGGGGGAATTTCACAATTTTCTTTCATATTTTAATATGAAATGTTTAATGTTTAAACAGTAAACTGTTGTGCCCCACTTTGTTTATGAAAAAATTAAAAGAACTGTTAAATTTTCATTTGATTACCTTTAAAAATATTAAACTGTTAATGTTTTATGCCTTCACTTGATTACAAGTTTTTGATAATAAATTAGTATTAAATTATAAATCCTGAAAAAAAACAAGACAATACAGAATTTCTGAAAAAATAAAAAAATATTCATAGATTATATTCACGTATTACATATGTAAAAAAGTTAATTATTAAGCTGTTAAAGTTTTTATTAGAAATAAATTATATTAGAAAAATTTAAATTTGGGAAAAATAAACAATTATTAGAGACCTAAAAATATATATTTTTTGTTACACTTTTAATAAATTGTTAAATTGTATAATATTAATATCCCATTATTGTAAAAATTTTAATTAGAGATTGACCGATATATCGATTTACCGATATCTTTCCCGATATTTAAGCATTTTACGATAATCGGATATCGGTTTTGTAATATCGGATTCGCCGATAAACGCTGCCATCTTGTGGGTGTTTTGAGAATTGCGCAAAGGATCACCATTGCAGCGCATCTGAGGGGAGACGAGACAACAACTGCATGGTGCAGGTACTTGATTTGCTGTAGTTAGTAAACTTTATTTAACATAACAGCCATTTATGCACAAATTAGATGCATTACATAAATGCCTGATATGTAGTTTATGCAGCTTGGCATGAAGAAATAGAGACGAACTCACGGAGTCATGTAAAATAATCCGTCAAGCCCTGTCCCAATAAAGACGTAACTTTGCATGAATTAAATAATATGCAGCCATGAATGAGCGCATGTTGGAAATAAAAACGCTAAATTTAATTCTCTCTCTGTTGTATATTTGCTCATCATTAGTCTTGTGAAGCCGCTTTCATATTGCTGTTCACTCACCGGGTTGTTGCTCAGGAAATGTTCCAGCACGGCCTCCACATGTAACTTTTAACAAGATTCACTTGTTTAAAACACCCTAAATTGTATTAACATTTACTATATAACCATTATTTCGCTAATAAACATCTAAATAAATACAACTCTATGGAAATTAATTATTTATTATCTCGGCGAGCGATCGCAGTTTGAGTCTAGTTCTGTGTAACTGCATAGATAAACCGCGCTGTCAGCAGGCATTTCATAATCTAGAAGGACAAAAACATTATTAGTAATTCTGATATAACATTCCAGTTGAGAAATGCAATAAAATGTGATGTTTTGTTTGTTATGTTCCAATATTCCAGAAAATATTATCCAGTGAATTACTCTTGACTCTGTAGCTATTAAACAGCTTATAAACCTACTAAAACTGTAGTTTAAAATGAAGTTGATACAACTCCTGTCCTTTATTTATTTTCTCCATTTGAAAACATTAGACATTCTACATTTATTTTGCTTATTGTTAATATTAGTGTTGTTGCTGTTGATGCTTTTTATAAGTAAAATGTTTTTTTACTGTTGTAATATGAAGATTA